CGGGGCTGGGTCGGAGGGTAATGGTGCATGAGCTAGGTGGGGTGCAGGGGGTAGGGGATTGAGGTACAGGATGGGGTGGGCGCTTGCTTTGGGCGGTTCCTGGTTGGCAGTGCACTGGGGCGCAGTGAGGCGTACGTGCCTACAGGAGGCGTTGCCTCCACGGCTCTCATTGGTCCCAGTAACTGACCAATGGGAGCTGCAGAGCCGGAGATGCCCAGACACCCCTTCCCTGGGGGCATGTGGGCCAGCCGGGGTATCACCGAGGCCCGGGCTGTAGCCCCCGATGTCCCTACGTTAGCCCATGGCTGGGGGCTACCCTGGCACACCCATTGAATGTGGCTCAGAGCGCCGTGCGGCGGGGGAAAGGCTGATATTCTGGAGTGTCGCAGGGGGCTTTGACCAGAGATGCTGCAGCGTCTGCTCCATTAACCTTTGGACCCTCTGGCTGTGTCCACACAACGGACACAGCACTTGTCTTCCCCCGGGGTAGAAGCAGGACCAGCCTTCCCATGCGGTGAACTGAGCCAGCCGCCTCCGGTGCCAGACCGTGGGGGATGCCCCAAGGCCCCAGAGATTTGAGATCTTTCCAAGTTTGGGCCCAAGTGACGAGGTCTGGGGGCGACATGACGTTGTGGGCCGGCCTGGGTAGGAGTTTTACGCTCACGAGTTTTTCTGATCGCAGTGGGGCTGGTCCCACCTCTCACCCCTGCTCCTAGATTGAGGAGGCTGGAGATGGCTCTTACCAGGGGGTCTGCCTCCTACTCCAGCCCTGTTTTGGGCATGTGTGTTTGCAAGCCCGTAGGACCGGCCGGGGTTCCCTGTCCCAAACAGCCGCTCCAATGGCTCACCATAGCTCCTGTCTTGTGAAACCCAGCCGTTTCTCAATGCTCCCCGGGGCTTTTCTGAGCGCACGCCCATTCGCCGGACCCCCTCAACTTGCAAAGGGCGCGGCCACGCCTCCGAGCAGCAGTCGAGGGTCGTGATGCAACGTCAGCTCCCTCGGCTGCGGAGCCGAGGTGGAAACAGCCGAATTGGGCGCTGGCTACACAGGCGGTGGAAGGAAGAGCGCGGTTCCTCCGGCCTCCCTTCCTCCTCGGGAAATGAGGTTCCAGGAGTGGGAGTAGGAAGACCTCCAGTTCGACCTGATTCTGCAATAACAGCGGGCTGTGTCGCGGCGCTCTTTGGCATTTCAGAATTGCGCCAGGCACTCCAAAAGAACACTGCTGTGTAGACGTACCTCTAATGTTGCCCTGGCCCCCTGCGCCTCCTGCCCACTGCAAAACAAGTGATCGCGGCCAGTGGAAGGCGTGGGGCGGGGCAGGGAGGGGGCTGGTCAGCAGGGCCCACAGGCGGGCAGGGACACTGGGGGGCAAGGGAGGGGCAGATGCTGGGGGCGGGGCTCTGGCTGCGCCTGGATCTAGGGCTGAATTCCTCCAGCCGCTGAGTT